TTGCAGAAGCGTGAAGCCAACTGTAACGTTGTGGTACTGGTTTAGGTTGGATTGCCAATATCTTTTTTTGGTGGCAAAGTCGGAACGTTGAATTGTCTGCGCTTATTTATTTTTTTATTTGGCCAAATCAAACGGAAAGGTGCAATCAGAAAGGAGGTTGCGTGGTGAATGACTAAATAAAAAATTACCAAAAAATAATTAAAAATGAAATTAAAACAAACAAAAAAAAAAAAAATAAATAATAATAATAATAATAATTTAATGGTAAAATAATTAATTAGTAATAATATATGTTCTTCATTATGGCTTAGCACTTTTTAAATAATACGATTTTAAGAAATATTCTGATTTTTTTTTTAGTATTTTTTTAGCACTACCCTATTAGTATTTGAAGTAATTTGTTTGTTGATTATGTATTTAGCTTACTTTTAAAGAAAAATATTTCATGCAAAAAATATATTGTTCAAGAAATATATATTTAGATTGCTTTTGAACAATACAATTTTAAAGAAAAATATTTTGTACAAAAATACGTTTCCTTTGAGGACCATCCTATTAGCATTTGAAATAACTTCTTTGTCAATTATATTAGGTTGTCAAAAAAAGTCTTGCGGTATTTATTACGGTATTTTTTATTGAATTTTCAATTGTTCAAAAAAATTKTTTAGATGACTCATGCCCAGCTCTTGACCAATGCTACGGCTGCTAATATGCCGGTCTCTTTCGACCAACTCAGCGCTATTATCACAATTTTTGACGATAGGCCTTCCGGAGCGTGGCGCATCTTCGACCACCTCTACACCAGAACGAAAACGTTGAAACCATCGTTGTGCGGTGGAAATGGAAACTGTATCGGGTCCATAAACTGCACAAATTTTATTGGCGGCTTGAGATGCATTTTTGCCATTATCGCAGTAGTACTGTAAAATATGCCGTATTTTCGCTTTATTTATGTTTGCGACGCTATAACTCACGAACACGTGTTCAAACACGCGTTAGCGCGTGAAATGAGCTTTCCAAAAAGGTATAGCATGACCCGATGCGACGAATAAAATTAGAACAACGCTCTCTTAGCGCCAACTAGCGAAAATACCGCAAGACTTTTTTGACAACCAATATATTTAGCTTTCATAAAAAAAAAATAATTAAATAGATAACCAATATCTTTTTATTTAAAAAAATACTAACTTTTTTTTATTTAGAACTACCCTATTAGTAGCTGAAAATTTCTTTTTGTACATTATATATTCGTTTTTCGAATTAAAAATATTATCAATATTAATTTTTTAAGCCAATAGTTAGCCAAAACTTTTTAATAACTAATTAATTTTCATGCTGTATTTTGTTGTTTTGCTGTATATTTTGTACATTACTGTACCTTTAGTGAAAAAAAAAAATAAGATAAAATTAAAGATATATTTAATAGTAAAAACAATTAGCTAGAAAGACCAAATGTCATTTTTTGTATAATTCTAACAAGGAGTTAAGGCAACTTGARTTCCATTCGAGATACACGAACCTTTGAGCAAGTATACACATACATACATAATACGTTCAAATATGTGCCGCATTGTCAGACACAGCGGCAGGCACATTTTCAACGCAAATGCCCATACATAATCCATCAATTGGGACCGAGCAAAGGGAACTCAAAATAAAAGCAACAAAGCCATTAATTTTTTCAACTAAAGTAACCCAAGATAACACATATAGCTGGCCATTTCAAGCCATTATCCCGCAATACAAAAGACCATGATCATTTTTAGGGAAGAAAATGAATTTTTTCGGAGTTCTATGCCGAGCGCATGGATTATTGAAATTTGTTGTGARCAAAGGATATGCAGAAAAAAGTACACACTAGTAAAAAGGATATCTTCATATGTACTAATGTATGTATCTGTATGTAGAGCGTTGAGCACATGTTGTGGCGGCGGTAAAGGTGTAAGAAAAAGAGCAGCGCGCAGTTGGTTACTAAGCCAATATAGGGAAGTCAGCAAAGGTGCTGTACGTCGCAGCTGTACGTCGCTGGCAGCTGTTTGCTGTTAATAGATTTTTATGTACCAAAAATTCTTCAAAATAAAATGTGTTGATTTGCATACAAAAGRCACTATATACACAAAAGTATGTTGCCGCAACATGTTGCTAAGCATTTATTTTACCTGCAGCGGCACAAAAATAGCGGCGAAAATGTCTACATMCTTTTTTTTTTATTAATCAAGTGCCAGTCRTGTGAAGCTYAAAAAAGTAATAATAATAATAAATTAAAAAATTTTAGTAGCAGCATTCATATGTGCACTCGCAGACACCCAAATAAACCATTTATCATGTGACTGAGGTACAGCAACAAATACAGCCGGCAAAACAAGCGAACACACGCACACACTCAGAGACAGTTAAACGTCGAGTTGCACATGAAAAACAATTTGTCATTACGGTGGAGCGGCAGAGKCAGCAGCGGCCGCAGCAGCGACGTTGGCGTCAGCGGYACGCACGGMAAACAGCCTCTACAGCCGGCCAAAATAAATGTTGCTGAGTCCAGTTTTGTCTGCTGCTGCTACTGCTTTTATTGAAGTTCAGTGTTGACACGCACAAATTGCCAGTGTGACAAGTCGAGAGCGCATAGTTGAAAGCGAGTCTCACGAGATACACAACAACAACAACAATCACAAAAAATGATAATAAAAAACGTAGAATAACAAACGCATACAAATTGTAGATAGCCGTAAATATATATTTTGCGTTTTGACAGATATTGGTCAAAGTTATCAACGCGCCGCTCTTTGTGCGCCTGTCACTTTTTGACAGTCGGTAATGTCATTATGACACATTTGTTGGTGCTTCAGCGTGTTCGATCTCGCGCTCYCTCTCTCCCGCGCTCTTCCTTAGCATTTTAAGTGTTTATAATGAAAATGGCTGAAGTCAAAGGCAAACAGCTGATTCACTCACTGCCTTCTCTCGGTTCGCAAAAACTCACTTGGCATGCCCTAATGTTCAATACTTTCTTATCATTTTTGTTGTTGCATGCATATTATTACCATCATAGCTACGTAGTACGTTCAATTTTGCMAATTTTTTGACAGYAACYGTCAATTTTGATTAAGTAACATGGCACAGCTTTTCAGGCAGGCGTTCAGACGAAAAAAAKTACATGCARCAAGAATTGTGAATACCATGCCGCGCAACAACACATAGYACCCTCAGCGCTGCCTACTAGTCGCCGAACGGCGCGCGCAGGCTCTAGCGGCCACACTGCCACTTATTTGCAAGTGTGTTTATATGTATTGGCTTGTATCTCTTACGTCTGCATTGATGTTTGTTTGTGTAGTGATTTTGCGCTCCGAGATTTATTACGTTTTCGTGCAGCAATGACCCTCCTTTTTAGCGCTGTTGCTGTCACATACTTGTTGATTTCAATAAATTATTACCATTTATGCAAGTTTTTGGCGCTGCACATACACACACACTCATCCATTTAATTGCATATTTACTGTTTTTACATGCTGCCAGTTGTTACAGTATTAAGTTGCTCTCTTGCAGGCAGCTGCTACTTGCACGCCTCGCCTCTAGAGATGTGTTTTAAAACAATAATTGTTGTTATTGTTGTTTGTATTTCAGTAGTATAGTGTAATTTATGTGGTGTGTGGCAACGTTGACGCTATAAAACAATTTAAAACAATTTAACCATTAATTTTGAGACAAACGTTTTAAGGTCAGCAACATGTTGCACTCAATTATAGATAGGTAAACGGCGTTATGATAGACACGCAATAATGTTTTGTGTAWRTGTGGGTGTTCGGTAAAGAAAGTGAGCTTTTCACATGAAAAAAATATATTTMTCTTTACACTTTTAACAAGTTTTCGCATTCTTTMATTAAAATTGAAAATAARATTGTCRCATTGCCTCAAAGTTGCCCCCTCTTTACTTGAATTCCAAAAATTTTACCATTCCAAAGACCAAACATCTAATGCGCGTWCTTTCCACCGCCACAGTTGCCAAGAGAACATTGCACCAGCAACCGTTGCCGTTAAGTAACGACATTCCAYGCACCAACGCCACTGCAGCTCATTATTTATACGCATTTATTGGTGCCACCATAGCGTGCAACATATCAAATCATGTCCCCCCACACACTTCTTGTGCCCAGCTCAACCATCTCCCACGACACACTCTCCGCGTCTGCAGCATTATGCAACATGCGTCCTTTTACCGACCACCTCGCTATGGATCTGCCATCAGCGAGCCGCCCTGCCGCACCAAATCACTTTCGACTTGAGTTCTAAACTACACACACATAACATGTACATACAACTGTGCCGCCACCCCTAAATGACTTTCAGCGTGTAATATTGCAGCGCGCATCCAGCGGCGTCGGTAGCGCCAAGTTGCATGCAACACACCCACTGCACAGCGCAACCCACAACACCGCATATACTTGTCGTTTGTTWAATAAGTACATTGCTTCATCTCCGGCTTTCCAAAAGTTATGCGCGCACTTTGCTGGCTTTGGCATTTCACAGCTAAAAATGGCTGCCACTGATGCGTCGCTTGCTGCATGCTCTAATTAAAATGCATTACTTAGTACTTTGGCAACTTTCAGCTCAACTCTCATGCTAATTCGCCCACTACTTGGTTGCGCWTTGAGAAATAAAGTTGCAGCCATGGTGTTGCTGTGTAGACGCGTATTTGACTATGACTTGCTTTGTTGTTGTTGTTGCGTATTTGTGCCACACCATTAATGGCTTTTGATGGGCGTTGGTGGCCACATTTTAGTACGCAGTGTTTTCATTACTCGGCGGTAATTAGTAGAAACAAATGCGCTTTTTATTTGAGCTTTAAGTGCGTTACTCTTGATTTTATTGGAGTGTAAATATATATTTTTTTACTTTCTATATATAGTATATTTTTTTGTATTGTATGTGTAGTTATTTTTGTAAATATTTACTTGCTGTGTTCATCTGGCATATAMTAATGAGTTGTTTTTCGATTTTTCACTTTGCAGACATCCACTATTCCCGCTCTTGGCGCTAATATTTGAAAAATGTGAGCTGGCCACATGTACGCCCCGAGAACCTGGCGTGCAAGGTGGTGATGTCTGTTCGTCAGAATCCTTCAATGAAGATATAGCAATGTTCAGCAAACAGGTAAGATTTATATATAGATACTTATATATAGAATTCAAGAGATATTTAAGTAAATTAGCGTTTAAAAATTATTAAAATTATTATACCAAATTTAAAAATCTGCAGGAATCAGGAAAATCATAGCTTAGAGGGTTTCATGTGCCACGATGAAAGGTCTAGAACTCTTTCAAAATCAATAAAGTTTAGTTCTCGCTGTTTTTGAAATAGAAATMTTCACTATAATTATGGCATATTAAATCTCAGGCGATTTGCAGTTCTTATCAAGATTTCGAAGATCCAAGGTTAGGATTTCTTATTTTCTTATTCAAAAACTCTGATACTTTGTATGTAAATCATCACTCGCCAATTTCAGTGCAAGTTCTATACTTCATATCGCCACCTAAAATGTCTAAAAATTTCAGCAGCCGCTGTCAGATATAACCAGTWTATAACCAATTTRYAACCATTTTATAACCAATATATAACCYATATGTAACCAATATATAACCATTTTATAACCAAAACTCAAATTTTGCTTCAATATAAGTGGTTGCTATTTTATCGTGTTTCCTTCWCAKGTAAACTTATGAAAACTGKTGTTATTACTTATTTTGCATTTTAGGTGACGACATTCAAAAAACTGTGAAACAAATTAAAATAGCTGCAAATTTTTTTCGAACAATTAGGAATGTTTTGAGAACATCATAAAAGACTAATCTGAGTATTTCATTTWTAAAATAATTTGTCTTGAATTTTCAAGTGTTTCTTCATGTCACTTTAATTTCTAGAAATCAGTTTTTAAACCAATCCATCCATACTTCGACTTTTTCCTCGACTTGACTTTGTTTAAAATATGGTTTAGTAATTTTGTTTTAAAATAAATCCTTAACATATGTGCCACATACTATTTCCGTGAATAACCCTACTTCCTTCCTACTAATTCCCACCGTCTGGGATTTCATTTCACTTTTACCCGAGAAAAGTTTTCGATTTCATTGCCATTTCTAGTATATTCCGAAATATTCACTACCCGCAACTGCACTTAGGCATAAATTCTCTTACTTGCTTACTTACTGAATGATGGATTATATGCGCTACACTTCGCTTACTAACTGACTGCCACGCCAGCCAGCCAACAGATCCACTTGACTGGTAATTGGAGATTATTTTTCTAAAATCCAACACATGTGCCACACACTCGCGTACTTGAGCGCGTACAAAACTGTTAAACGATCAGATTACCGGGGGTAGAATAATTAAATAAAAACAACAAGCACAATGCTAGCTTAGACTGTGAGGGCGAAATTTTCACAAGCGGGAGGCAACATTCAGGCAAAGTCCAAATCAAGCTGAGTTGCGCACAGACGCCTTATGATTTCAATCATTTTGCCAAATCTACGCTGAGCTACTTGAGTTAAAACTCGGGAATTGACAGACGAGCGCTCAAATTAGTATAAATAAGTATGCGTGCATATGTATGTATGTACTTATAAAGTAGGAATACTTAATTTAATTTTTGGTTTCTCCAACATTTGKTTGTTGTTGTGCACATCCGTGGCGTTGAAATTAAATGCTAAAGATKCACAATAAAAATATTATTTCAATGGAAAGCAAAACAATGTTGAGCACAAACAGATGTGACAAATATGTGTGGCAGCCAGGCGGACGGGCGGACGGGCTAGCGGGCGAGTGAGTGCGCTGYTGGTGGACTTAGTGGTGGAATGATGTTGGTTGCAGCACATACTCAGTCATACATTGACATGCGGTGACACATAGCCGCGTAGTCTGCTTGCCAGCAACGCCCTGCTGCCTGTAGTGGCAATGCCCACTAATTGAGCGCGTTTGTGCAACACCATAAGAAACGAAAACAAAAAAAAAAAAATTAAGAAGAATTAAAAATAATTATGAATGTGAAACAAGCACATCGAAAGGAAATACAAAGTCGACGAAAATTGAAAACACAAGTTGCCACTTCCTTTTGCGCGCCAGCAACTGGAGTCGACGCAAATAAATCTCGAGCTGCTTTTAGAGACAGACTCTTTGACAACAAATTAAAAAAAGCAAAAACAAAAAAAAAAAAAAAAAATTTGTGAAAAAATCACTACTGCCACCCTACAACACTTAGGCACTTCCTTTGGCAACGCGCAGCAGTGAGCGCGCACTCCAGCATATGTACTCGCCATCAGTGCGCGTTGTTGGTGACTTCATAAGAACGCACTTGCTGCGCCTGCCACACTGACATTTGAATAATTTACGATGGTTTAACATCAAAATTATGTCCACACTGTGCGGGCGAATGCGCTGAACGGCTTTATGATAGTGTTGAAGTGGATGTTGCACATAATGGGACTGCCGATAGCCACCCTACTGCTGGTTGTGCGTCACTATAGTTGCGGCTGATGATGAACCGTGCCAATGACTGACTGTCGAACCGAAATCGACCTCCCATTCACTAAGCGGTGACTATGCGCGYACATTATTTCGGTATTGTTGTTATTGTTTTTTATTTATTTCACCGAAATAATACCCCAACTTACTAATGTACTGTATATATGTACATATGTATATGTTTGCTCTCCCCCTTCCGCTTACCACGCACTTGCCACACTGCTGCAACAAATTTTTGAGGCGCGTTCACTTCAAGTGTGCAATAAAGAAATGAAAAAATTACAAAAACAATGTAAAAAGCATATATCAGCAGCATGATCGGCATGAACATCAGCGCGCTGGTGCGAGATCACATTAAAAACACCATCAACGCAAGCACCTCATCACATTATGATTGCTGTCTGTCTGCCTGCCCTTCTTTGCGTGCTGCGCCTGTTGTAGTTGCATGCCACATACATACATGCATATATGTAGTACGTACACATAAATATATTTATAAAACACATGTGCTGTTGCGACAAAAATTCAAAAAGTCAAAAGTGGCGTTGCACTGTCAGACAACGCTGTGGCCGCCACAAAAGGAAGTTCAGTTTGCGGCAAAAATAAAAAAATGCAATTTTCAARTTCTACAAAAAAAGTTCAATATGCCAAATATGACATGTCAGTGCAGTGAAATAATAATCAGAAAAATTATGTTTTTATTTATGGCTCATTTGTGGGCTTTTTGATGGCTTTGTTTCGCTACTGAGCCGTTGTTGCTTGAGCGCTGCTCGAGTTGAAGATGCGGTGGAGCCACTGTGGCATGTTACTCACCAGTAAATTTATTTTACTTGTTTTTGGAGGCATTTTAAGCTTTTAAAGCCACCAAATATTATRATCTTAAGGCGAAAGAATATTAATGTTTGGATTAATATTTATATATACTTGCAACTTTTGAAATTTTTGTTCTTTTTATGCTCCACTATAAATATATATCGATGTGAATATTAAGGAAAAAATACTTTAAGCATTTTATAGTATTTGGCAAATTTTTATTTATTGTATTACAATTATTGAGTATATAATATTTTTATAACATTAAAATTTTAAAATTCTTCCAAAATAAAAAATTTATACATTTCACCTCATTCCAACAAAAAATAGCAGCCGCTTGTTGCAGCATTGAAATATATGTGGCACATAACACAAAAGCGTTTTTTTGCATTCCCCCACTCTTGAGTTGCACGAAAATCGCCGGCAACACACATGCAACATTTACTCAATTGCAAAATCTTAATTCCGCACATAAACAACGGCATACAGATTTAGTAGCATAATTTTTCATATACTAATTTGTGCGAATTTCACAGACACACACACGCACCGCCACAAACTAATTTCCAACAACTGCTTAGTGCCACACTTAGCGATTTGCGCAAAAATAGCTCGAAAAAGTGTAATAAGTAGCGAGAATTTGAAAATAAATATAAGCATAGCATGGATTTTCGCAAACGATCGAGCAGTCTGCATGCAGTGTTGTTTACATTGCGACAGCCAGTAGGCAGCCTGTGGCAGCAGCAACTTCATCAACATGCTTATCATGTCGATCATCATTCAAAAGCGCTCCCAAAAGCAGTCGGCTGTGTGTGTGTGTCAACGACGTCATGATTGTCAGACGAATGGTTGTCTTCATCAATGCGCTGGCCGCCATGCCGTGGTGCATCTTCCTTGCAGACTGTTTCTGCCACAAACAAGCAAATGACACCATTGCGACGCGTAAAAATTAAAAACAAAATGCAAATCTACAAAGCTGCTTTTTCGCTTTATTTATGTTGCCAAAAATAACGCCGACACAACATTAGTTGCTTACGCAGTTGTTGTTGTTATTATTTGTGTTGCATTTTCTAAATAACGTTGTGCTCTCTATGCACGTTTGTTGTGTTTGTGTGTGCGCAAAAATTTTGCTCTTTCAGCTTTGGCTGTTTCAAAGTGCAATTGTTGTTGTTGTATGTGAGTATTGTTATTTTTGCAGCTCTTGATGTTTCTAATTTAGTTGCCGCAGCTGACTTTTAGGAACGTTTATTTTCGAAACTCATATATTTTATTTAAGTGTGAAGGAAGAAGCRGCAGCAGCAAAATAAAAGCAGCAAAAACAACAAATCAGCCAAAACAAAAAATTTGTAGGCAGCGAGTGTAGAGGTTAAACTTTGCTGTCGCGCTGGTGAGAGATGTTGCATGCGATGTGTATCGAATGCTTGATGTATTTGTTGCTCTTAAAACCAAAAWWTTTTTTTTTTAATTTTTTTAATCTTTTTTTTGATWTTTTTTTTGTTTCTTGCTTTTAATGCGATTTTTGTTTTGGTTTAGTCGTGTGTGTGCCACATTTCTTAGAAGTGGGGGTAAAATGGTTGTTTGGTGTGAAAAATTTTTCAGGCTCAGCGCTTACCGCGTGTGAGTAAAGTGAGTGTGAGGCGCAACACAGACTGTCGTTTTGTATTGTGGCAAATAGGCGTATTAACTGGCAGACAGATTGCTGACGATAGGCATAGAGCGTGATAAAACCACGCTGATAGTTGACGGCGCTTTGATAGGGAGTGGGCTGAGGGGCAAAGCATGGAAAGTTGTGTTTRTGCGAACTTAAAATTTTTGTACAT